AGGGTTTAGCCATACATAGCCCCGATACGCAGGGCTGCCGTCTGGGCTGTGGTTGCGAGTGTCTAGCTGCTTGCAGTACATAGTTCGACCTTTATTCCTATACTTTACAACCTGAGGCCCTAAACAACCCTGAAAAACGAAACCTTTCACCTTCCTTTGTTCAAGAAACCTCTTGGTCTTCGCCCTAAACAAGACCTTAAATCCTCAACCTTGACACCATAAGCCGTGAACATTCAACCTGTCTTAGGAAAGAACCCTCAACCTTAAAACCGCAAATCCCAAACCCTAAATCCCAAATCCTAAATCCTAAAGCCTGGACCCTAAACCCTAGACCCTAAACCCTAAAACCCTAAAAGGCCCTTTAAACAGAAACACCCTGAAACCCAAAGCCCTAATCCTCGGAACCTTCTAAAGCTTCCATAAAGAGCCCTAAACGCAAAACCCTACCCTGACCCTTAGGGTTTAGGGTTAGGGTCTAGGGTTTAGGGTCTAGGGTTTAGGGTTTAGGGTTTAGGGTAGGAACCTTAAGCCCACCCAAAAAGAGCTCAGCTTGGAAAGGCCATGAAGAGAAACGTGGCCTCTCAGTTGGCCGCTTGCTCGGAGGAGGTGCGGTCCTTGAGCCTGGATCTTTAAGGCTTCCATTTGGGTTTAGGGTTTAGGGTTTAGGGTTTCGGGTTTAGGGTTTCGGGTCTAGGGTTTAGGATTTAGGGTTTCGGGTTTGGGATTCCATAAGGTTTCCCGTTCGGTTCTGTAGGGGTTCTACCATGTACCATGCGGGATCTCGAAGGCTTCGATAAGGGTTCCATTCGGTTCTGTGGGGGTTCTACAATCTATGTCCTAAACCCTAAACCCTAAACCTACTATATGGGGTCCATAAGGCTTCGATTTGGGTTCGATGAGGCTTCCATAAGGCTTCCCATTCGGTTCTGCAGGAGCTCTGCGATCTATACTCTACGCCTAAGGTTGAAACCATGGGCCCCTGGTATGGGCCCTTAACCCTGGGATCCGTATATACCCTAAACCCTAAACCCTAAACCCTAAACCCTAAACCCTAAACCCTAAACCCTAAACCCTAAACCCTAAACCCTATATACCCTGTATGTGCCCTTAAGAGCTCCCATACTTCTACCCTCACTATACGGGGTCCATAAGGGTTGAGGGTTTAAGCGCTTGGGGCTTTTGAAAGGATTCTGCTTGGAGTTCGAAGCCCAAAACCCGAGACCCGAAGCCCTGAAGCCTAAACCCTAAACCCTTTAAAGCCGGCTTAAGGGTTCGCGAAGGGGCCGACAGTCATGGGTTTAGGGTTTAGGGTTTAGGGTTTAGGGTTTAGGGTTTAGGGTTTAGGGTTTAGGGTTTAGCGACACCCCAGTCCAGATCCGAAGCGGTCGGAAGCGTTGGAGTAACGGTTGGTTGGGTTTTTGGAGTTAGGATTGGGGGGTTTAAGGGACTTCTTTGATGTCGGGTTGGGGATCTAAGGGACGTTTAGGATGAAGTGAAAACCTTCTCTGTTGAACCCTTAGGGTCTAATTAAGCCCTGTAGATCTTCAAGCCCTGAAGCTTAAGGTCCCAGCCCGTGAACTTCGTTTGTCCTGACTCACAGTTGAGCCCAACCCCACATTGAGCTTCAATCTGCGATTCTTTGCGCCGCGGTTTCGTGGCTCGGTCGTCTGGCTCGTTCGCTTGCGCGAAGATGCCTCAATATCAAGCCAGTCATCCAGGGCTGCAAGGCAGGCCCATGCCACTGCAAGGTGCTTTTCTGCCACATGATAGCGTCTTTCGGGAATA